CAAAATCACGAGCCAGCTCCCTTGGGTACCTGCTCCTCAGGGTGAGCACGGAGCTGGCACACGGGTGCAGAGGGCCACCACGGAGGGTTCAGGGCTGTCCGGCCGAGGCAGCACACCCAGAGGCAGGGAGCAGCCCGCCACATCCCAGCCTCTGTGCTCCCGACCCAGCTAGCGGGCCTGCCTCTCGGCTCCATCACGAGCGCTCACAGTGATGCGCACTGGAATCAGACTTCTTTATAGCCTCAGCCCCGCCAACATTTGGGACCAGATGATTCTCTGCCGTAGTGGTCCAATGCTAGGAGGTTTGGCAGCATCCTGGCCCTGGACCCACAAATGTTGGTAGCCTCCCCCCATTTACAGAAAAATGAGCATCTAGAGACCTTGTCACATGTGCCCATGGGGCAAAGCAGTCCTGGTTGAGAACCACTGATACCCAGGGATCTGGGGTCCTTGGCTGCTTTATCCCGCCTTGAGCTGTGTGCACAGGTGTCTCTTATGCACCTGGGGGGAGAGTAATCATTCCTCTTAGCAGATGATCGCAGGGCCCACAGCCCTCCGTGGTCCAGAGCGCCAGGAACTCTCCCTGCAAAGGGTTAGACGGTGAATGCTTGCAGCTTTGCCGGCCGAAGGGCATTTGCTGCAGCCCCTCAGCTGGTGGTTATGGGGTGAAAGCATTCGCAGACAAAAGTCAATAATTCATAGACAATAATAAATAGCAATTAATGGCTTCACTGACTCAATGGGACATGAGTTTGAGCAAGCTCTGGGCGTTGGTGGTGGACAGGGAGGCCTGGCGCGCTGCGGTCCATGGGGTCGCAGAGTCGGACACGACTGGGGGGCAGAGCTGAACTGAACGGAACTGATGATGGGTGTGGCTGTTTCCAGAGGAAATTTACTTATGGGCCCTGAAGTTCAAATTTCATATACTTTTTTCATGTCATAAAACAGTCTTTTCCCTTTTTTAAAGTTTGTTGTTTAGTCACTAAGTTGTGTTTGACTCTGCAAGCCCATGGACTCCAGCATGCCAGACCTTCCTGTCCTTCACCATCTCCCAGAGTCCGCTCAAACTCATGTCCACTGAGTCGATGGCACTATCCACCCATCACATCCTCTGTTGCCCGCTTCTCCTGTCTTCAATCTTTCCCAGCATCAGGGTCTTTTCCAATGAGTTGGCACTTTGCATCAGGTGGCCAAAGTATTGGGGCTTCACATTCAGTCCTTCCAATGAATATTCAGGGTTGATTTCCTTTGAGATTGACTGGTTTGATCTCCTTGCGGTCCAAGGGACTCTCAAGAGCCTTCTCCAGCACCACAGTTCAAAAGCATCAATTCTTTGGTGCTTTTTTATACCAACTATTTTTTTTTCATTTATTTTTATTAGTTGAAAGCTAATTACTTTAAAATATTGTAGTGGTTTTTGCCATACAGTGACATGAATCAGTCATGGATTTACATGTGTTCCACATCCCGATCCCCCTCCCGCCTCCCTCCCCATATACCAACCATTTAAAAACAGGAAAACCACCATTAGCCCTTGTAAAGTACAAGCACAGACATCCAGTCTGAGCCCTGGGGGGGTCCGTGACCCCACAAGGTGGCCCTGGGTTCATACGCCCGCGCCAGAGAGGGGCTCAGCCCAGGTGGCCTTAGCTCCCCAGACAGCCTTGGAGCTGGAGATGCGGCCTTCTTCCTGAAAGAAAGGACGTGTCCGGTGGAGAGAGGGAAGGGGTTGACCTTACCAGGAGAGGCTGGATTAATCTGCCCTGGCCTGATCCCACCCATGAGAAAAGTCACCGCGGTGTCAGGAGCACTTGGCTTATCAGAAGCTGGGGCTTCTCCCCAGGTCTGGCCAGACGAAGGACCACTCCATCACCGGGGCGAGAGCGTCCACCAGGGCCCGTCTCAATGACTGTGCCACTCTGCCCCCCACACAGCACTGGTCTGAAACACCCCCACCCCCAAAGGAGCCTAGCCTCCAGGGACGGGTTGCCCTATTTAAAGCTTTCTGGGCCTTCTCAAGACGGCAATTTCACGCCAGTCCATAAATCTCCACACCAAACCAGTACTTGAAGGTCAGCAGAGGGAGGGCCGGGAACCACAATTGCCAGCCTCCCCAGCTGGGGACGGGGCGGCTGCCAGGCGGGCAGCGGCCGGGCCTCGTCCGAGGGCAGGACACGTCGGCTGTGGGCGAGGGTGGAGCCTGGGAGGTCATGTGGGCCACTGGCCTCGGCGAGAACGCCTGGGCAGCCATGGGTGAGCTCTGCCCGTCAAAACCCAGGGCGGGGGCGGGGTGTACGGGTCGCAGGGACCCGGAGTGCCCTCACCGAGCCCCGTGGTGTGGTGCCCTGCTGGGCGAGCTGCAGGCTGTGTCCCCAGCAGGACACAGAGATGCGCAGAGCGACCCCACCCCACAGGGTCCACCAGGGCCCTGCTCTCAGCTCCCGGTGTCCGAGTGCCCACGGTGGAGGCTCCACAGGCGGGATCCTCCAGGTCCTGCTGAGACTCCGCATGGGGTTGAAGAGGGGGACATGTCCCAAGGACGCCAGCAGCTCACCCGGGTGCCCGTCTCTCTGGAGCCCTGGGGCCGTGGGAGCATATGAGAAGGGCAGCAGTGTCAGGCCTGGCGCTGTCCAGGCAACAGCCGGCTGGGACCCTTGGGAGCTCTTTCTTTGGCCGGAACAGAGCGGGTTGGACTACATGGTCTGAGGCCCAGTTGCAGCGTGGCCGTGGGGTCAGACCCTGCCTCCTCCGGAGCCTGTGCTCAGGGCTGGACCCGGGGCTCACAGTCCCCACCGAGCTGGCCCCTGCCCTCTGCCCTTCCCCGGGAAGCTCAGTCCCAGGTCTGGTCTTCGTGAAGCAGCGCTCTTCCTAATCCCCCAAGTGTCAAGGGTGGTTCTTGACAAGGCCAGGGGCAGCCCACAGATAGTGTGCCGTTCCAGCTGGCTCCTCCCCTCCCCTGCGCCCGGCAGAAGCGCAGCCAGGAGGCTGCTGGGCTCCCCTGAGCGGCCCCGCGGCCAGGTCATGTGGAGAGGAAGCCCTCAGGCCCCGCACGGATGCTGTGGCATCCTGTCCAAGCCCCCAAGAAGACTGGATGTGCAGCCAGATGAGGTGCTCCCGATGTCACGCGTCAGAAATGGAGGAGCGGAGCTGAGACCAAGGTGCAGGGGGGACCCGCGGTTGGTGGAGACAGCGCGCCACAAACAGGGACACCTCTGCGTCCCTGGGTGTACCCCCGGGGCCCGCCCTGGCGCTCGGGTCCTCTCCCATCCTGACCCAGCTCCGTCTCCAGGGCGGTCCCCGAGCTCCTGGGATTCTCAGGCATTGCCAGTCCTCCTGTCACAGGGTTCCCAGGGGGCAGAGTCAGCCGCCTGCCCACGAGGAGCCCCATCCGCTGAAGACACAGACATAGAGACAGATCGTTAGCGTCTGCCCTGGGAAAGGCGGGAGGGGCGCCCTGGAGACCTGGGTGAGCCCTGACTCTGCCAGACTGAAGACTGGGGGCCAGGGCCTGTCTCCACCTCCTCGGAATGCGATGGGGAGAACACCAACTCACAGGATGGGCCCGGAGCACAGCAGACCGGCCAGAGAGCGTGCTCACACCTGGGCTGGTGAAAGGACTACACTTACCATCTGGTCAGAGCTGTGGGTTTTCCACAGTCAGGTATGGATGTGAGAGCTGGACCGTAAAGAGGCTGAATGCCGAAGAATTGTTGCTTTTGAATCGCGGTGTTGGAGAAGACTCTTGAGAGTCCCTCGGACTGCAAGGAGATCCAACCAATCCATCCTAGAGGAAATCAGTCCTGAATATTCACTGGAAGGACTGATGCTGAAGCCAAAGCCCCAATACTTTGGCCACCTGATGCAAAGAGCTGACTCATTTAAAAAGACCCTGGTGCTGGGAAAAATTATAAGCAGGAAGAGAAGGGGACGACAGAGGATGAGATGGCAGGATGGCATCATCAATGGACATGAGTCTGGGCAGACTCCAGGAGACAGTGGAGGACAGGGAAGCCTAGTGTGCTGCCAGTCTATGAGTGAAAAGGGTCGGATGCAACTGAGGACTGAGCAACAAGAACGCGTGTGAACGCCGGTGCAGCAGGAGCGCAGAGCAGAGCCGCCCCCGCCCCCAGGGCCCGGGCCGCCTCCTCAGCACGTCTTCCGAGGATTTCCCTTTCCCACGCTTTTCTCTGCAAAGCTGGACCATCCTTCCAGGACCCAGAACCCGCCCCACAACCTGACGGACACCCTCTGCCCCTGCAAAGGATCCTGAGACCCCAGGTTCCTGGAGCTGCCTGGATGGGCCCGAGCCACCATGCAGGGCCAGGTGCGGGAGGGGCTTGGGTCCGTGGAGGAGTCACGGGGCCTCCACGTCCACCCTGGTCCCCGGGGGAGGCCAGGCAGGCTGGGCACGTCTGCGCGTCCCAAGCAGGGGAAGTGAAGGAGCCTCAGGACAGACAAGTGCTGGTGCGCCGGAGGAAATGGAAAACATCAAACCCGCTCTCCGGCAGGAGAGCCGAGAGGATGGCTGAGTGCCGCCAAGGAGGGTTCCGGCCCGGCCGCCGGGCTCCGGAGCAGATGGTCTAAGCATCGGGGTGGGGTGGGGGGGACGCCAGCACTTGGCAATCCAGGGCGAGGAAGCCCACGTGTGCGGGCCTGTGGGAAGCTCATCAAAGCCGCCGGTTCTAAGCTGGAAGGACGAGCAGGGTGGCCTGAACGACGTGTGGGTGAGGGAGAGAGGGCTTTGCAGGCCCCCCTGCAGCACGGCCTTCCCCGGAGCACCGCGTCTGGGGACTCTGGAGACCACAGGGCCAGAGGGCAGGGTCGGATCTCTGCTGCATCTCACAAAATCTAGTGCTGTGAACTAGAGATGAGTTCTCTGGGGCCAGGGAGGCTGGACGTGCAGGCGGACAACGGGGGCCTGGAGTGCGGAGGCCCGAGGGAAGGGGTTGGGGATTGAACTGTCAGGGTAGAGGGGGCTGGCGGCTCTGCCCGGAGGTCGCATGAGAAGGAGCACCAGCATCTTCGGCAGCCCCGGGATGCTAGCTCTGAGGCCTGGGGGGCGGCGGCAGGAGATGCAGAAGAGCCGAGTGATGCAGCTGCGGGCTGCTAGGTCAGCGGCTCAGGGCATCTCCAACACTGGGCTTGCTCCATCTTTCCCGGCTGCCTCCTCAGCCCCAGGCAGCCCCAGGCGTCTTCACACACCAGCCTCTCTGAGAACTGCTCTGAGAGCTAAGACCTTCTCCCAGGACCATGCCTTCACCCTCAGAGTCCCCTCCTGCCCTTCCCACTGCTGTTTCAGGGACAGCAGGATCTCTGAGCTGGGCTGAAGGCAAGGATGAGCCCCCTCGTTGGTGCCATGGATAGGGTCCCAGTGTAGGGCAGGGCTCAGACAGCCCCAGAGATCCTCCGGGCCCCCCGGTCGGCCGGCCCAGTCACCACTGGGGGGCCAGCTCTCCGTGGACCGTGAGCCAGGCCCGTGTGGCCTGGTCATTCTGTGTGAACCCTGCCTCCCACCTCCGGCTTCCCAGCCAAGGGGACACCCCTCCTGGGTGTCCTGCGTCCATTTCCATGGTTCCTGTGGAACTCCGCCTTGTATTCTTCTATCCCTACGAGTTTCAGCGTGCGCGCTTTTGAAATTTACATCAGTGGACTCACCCTGTGTGTTTCCTGTCCCCCTGTGTCTTTTGCCGACATTTTGTCTCTGAGATTCATCTGTGTTGTCGATTGCAACCTCGATTCTCTCTGCCTCTCTGCTCTTGTTCACTCCACTCTAGGAGCGTGATGCCATCTCTGTATCCAGCCCCATGTCAGCGAGGGCTGGGGGGAATTTTTTTTGTTGTTATTAATCATGGTAAACCTCATTCCAAGAGCACACAGCATCCTGAAACAGCACTGCCAGTCCATCCTTTCGTACGCACCTGCACAGGTGTCTGGGTCAGACGGTGGCACCTAATCGGTTTGACCTGACAATGCTTAATTTTGTTCCAAAGCACTTAGAAGAGCAGTTTCTATTCCGAGAGACAATAATAAGAATGCTTACTACTTCATATCCTTGCCAAGCATGTCATTTGTATAATTTTAAATTTTTATCAATATGGTATATGTGCAAGTGTGTAACATTGGATTCAATTTACATCACCCCATTATTGATCATATTGAATATCTTTTTCTGTTTATCAACCATTCAAGTGTCCTGTTTTGAAAGGGCATGTTTGAAGTCTTTTGACCATGTTTCTACATTTTGATTTATAGAAAGTCTTTTAAAATTTTGATCACTAGCACTTTTTTTGTTAGAAGGGTTACAAGTGGTTTCTTCACCCATGTTCTGTTTAATTAACAAAAGTTCTGAATTTTAATGCAGGCAGTGAAATCCAGCCTTACACTTATGGCATTTGCTGTGGTAAGGCTTATGAAATCTTTTCCTATCCAGAAGTCATAAATATATCACCACATATTATCTTCTAAGAGTTACACCATTTTGCTTTTTAGTTGAAGTCTTTAATCAACCTGTAATTAATTTTTCAAAATGCTGTGAGATGGCTGGGGTCCAGTTTATTTTATTCATTTAGTTTTGCGTGGACAGCAAGCTCCCCTTTAATGATTCATTTAGAAGCCCATTCTTTTCTCTCGGTCGGCAGCGCTGTCTCAACAGGTCTATCTATGAGCTCTCTGTGCTGCTGGTCATCCCTGTATTCCTGCAACATTCTGAGACCCGATTGCTCCAGTTCTGCAACAATCCTTGAGGCCTGGAAGGCTAAATTCTCCCACAGTGTTGTTCCTTTTCAAGAGCATCTCTATTACTTATGATTCTTTGATTGTCTATTCAAATTCTTTATGTTCAAATATTAAATTTTTCAAGTTATACTCACGTACTCATAAACACATGCACACATACACACACACACTCACCCATTGGGAGTTTTGTTGGAATTGCATTATCAATAGATGAATTTGGCAAGGATTGACATGATACTCTATCATTCCCAGACATAATGGCTTTCCGCTTATTTAAATTTTATCACTTCTTTTAAAACAATTTTTAATTTCCTTCCCCAAAATATTGCACACACCTTATTAGATTCATTTCCAAGTCTTTTCTATTTCAAATTTTATTATCACTAATGGTAAATTTTAAAAGTATTGGAAAAAAAATAAAAGTATTGGGTAAAACACAAAACATCTTTAGTGTACATCTCAATGAACTGTACATGTCTACACCAACATGACCACCATCTTGATCAAATGTTGGACTTTTCCATCTATTCCTGTTCCTTCCAGAACAGGAAGGCTCTGTCCTGACTTTCTGGTCCACACCCACCTCCAGAGGCAACCATGTTATCAGTGTGATCACTGAAGATCAGCCCTGCTTTTTTGTGAATTTCAAATAAGGAAGATTATACAATATTTATCTTCTGTGTCTGACTTCTTTCACTCGGGATAATTTTTAAATCCATCAGTGTCACTGTGTGTGTTAGGAGTTTGGGTTCTTTTTATCTTTAATGGAGTTTTTAGTCTGTTTACATTCATTTTAATCAATGATATGTGGATTTATTTGCAGCATTTATTTCATACATATTTATCTTGCCTTCTTTGCTTTTCTTCTCTCTTTTATTTGATTGAATCTTTAATTCCAGTTTTCCCTTTATATAATTAAACACACCATTTATATTGTAAATGGATACCTTAGACTTTTCAACATATATATTGAGCTTATCAGAATTCAAAGTCAATCACTATTTTGCCCTACTCCCAAAATATAAAAGTTTAAAACACTTTGACTCAAACATTCCTTCCTGACTTAAGTATATATGTATATATATATGCTGCTGCTAAGTCGCTTCAGCCGTGTCCAACTCTGTGCGACCCCATGGATGGCAGCCCACCAGGCTCCTCTGTCCCTGGGATTCTCCAGGCAAGAACACTGGAGTGGGCTGCCATTTCCTCCTCCAAGGCTGTGCTGGGTCTTCGCTGCGGCACGAGGGCTGTCTCGCGGTGGAGAGCAGGGCGCTCTCTCGCCGGGGTGCCTGGGCTTCTCTTGCCGCTGAGCACAGGCTCTGGGGAGGAGGGCTTCCGCAGACGCAGGCCCCTGGCTCTAGAGCGCAGGCTCCGCAGGTGCGGAGCTTGGGCTCAGTTGGTTCACAGCATGCGGGATCTTCTCGTATCAGGGATCGAGCCCGTGTCTCCTGCACTGACAGACAGATTCCTATCTTCTCCACCACCAGGGACGTCCCCTGACTTTCCAATTGTGGCATTTTTTAAACTCAGTACAATATTTTTTTTGCTTCTCATTGTCAATGTCTGGCTACCTTTCCTGCCTGCATAGTCTGGTTACCATTTCTCCATGCATCAAGTCGCCCACCTGAGATTACCTTCATTCTGTCTGACTACACCCTTTAGAATTTCTTCCAGGGAAGAGTTGTTAATAAGGACACTTTTATTTTTCCTGTATTCTTGAAAGATATTCCCTTTGGGTATATATATTCAAGGTAAATAACTGTATTTTTGCCATGTAAGAATGACTCCATTTTCTTCTGGTGTCCACTATTTATACTGATCAAGTAGACGTCAGTCCAGTTGCCATTCCTTTCTGAAAAATTTGCCTTTTTCTCTTTGGCACTTTAAATCTATTCTGTTATACTTTAGGGCTTTGCACTTTCACAGATATGTCTCTGAAATAGTTTTTTATATGTCCTGCTTTGGATTTGATGGGCTTGAAGAACATGAAGACTGGAGTCAATCTTGATCAGTTCTTGGAATTCTTGGTCATTTTTTCATCAAATATTGTCTCTACTCTCTATGATTAGAACTGAATTAAGTCTTCTCACTTTATTCCTATAAATTCTAATCTCTCTTTTATATCTCCTGATCTCAGCGCTACTTTCAGGGTTATTCCTAAAACTCTATCCCCCAGTTTAGTGATTCTCTCTTTAATTGTGTCTAATCTGTGATTAAACCCGTCTGTTGAGTTTTTAATTTCAGTTGAAATTCTTTTCATTTTTGGTGATTATATTTGGCTCGTTTTCATAGTTGCTTGGTTGTTTCTTTACTCTCTTGCTCTTTACCCATATTTCAATCCCTTTATTTCTTTAAACATGTTAAACATACTTTTATTCTTTTCAATACTTCCAATATGTGAGGTTCAGTATGTCTGACTCTGCCAGTTGCTGTATTTTGCTTTTTGTTTTTCATTTAAGTCTTGTTCATGGGGTTCTGTTTCCCTGTATGTAGTGTGATTTTGACTGTAAACTCAAAACTCTTAAAATGAGTTTAACTTGGGGATTCTTTGAGGCCTGATTTGAAGGTGAGTTTCTCCAGACAAGGTTCATATTCCCTTCTATCAAGTACATCACAGTGTTGCCAACCCATGACCACTCACACTATAATCACTCTAAACTAAATTTTTAGGTTGAGGCTCTTTGGATCATCCAGGTAGTGTGAATTTGGGCTGCAAACCATGTGTGGGCTCTTTGTGCTTATAAATACTTAGGGAGAAATTTTTCTCCATTCAACATCAAATTCTTTATACCAGTTTCCTGGTGTCCCCAGAGGGACATTACAGGTATATTTAATAACACAGTTGTGAGTCCTTTGGAGTTGCAGCAATAGACTCTGTTAGAATCTTATACAGTCTGTGGTGTTTTGCTGTGCCCTGGCCCCTGGAAAGAACAGGACCTAACAGAAGCAGAAGATATTAAGAAGAGGTGGCAATAAAACACAGAAGAACTGTACAAAAAAGATCTTCACAACCCAGATAATCATGATGGTGTGATCACTCACCTAGAGCCAGTCAGCCTGGAATGTGAAGTCAAGTGGGCCTTAGGAAGCATCACTACAAACAAAGCTAGTGGAGGTGATGGAATTCCAGTTGAGCTATTTCACATCCTAAAAGATGATGCTGTGAAAGTGCTGAACTTAATATGCCAGCAAATTTGGAAAACTCAGCAGTGGCCACAGGACTGGAAAAGGTCAGTTTTCATTCCAATCCCAAAGAAAGGCAATGCCAAAGAATGCTCAAACTACCACTTAATTGCACTCATCTCACACACTAGTAAATTAATGCTCAAAATTCTCCAAGCCAAGCTTCAACAGTACATGAACCATGAACTTTCA